GTCTGCATACCCTTTGTGACCAATTCCCTGCTGCACCTTGATGCCGACATTCTGCGTGGTGCCATCACCAGACTTGGCAGCATCACTGATCTCCATAGTCTCAGGCATGATGAAGCTACAAGGCAAAACAGTCAAGATCGACAAGATCGAGCCGTGACAAGCTGCTGATGTGTGTCTCCAACGTTTGCACCAAGCAAAGTTACAAACCTACCAAAACAGCCAAGGACCTTCATTCAAACACAATGTCATTGAATATCCGACCAATGCTTGCCACCTTGCCTTCTGCAAAGCTATTTTACGGCGCATGGTTCAGTGTGTGCAGTCTGCCCGTAGCGCTATGTCTGACAAGCTGGCTAGCTCACACAGAACGGATGGGTAGAGAATGGTAGAGATACCAATAAGGTCTATTTGCTGAAAACTTGCCAAGGGGATGCTAAAAGCAGCCCCGGCAAACCATCCTGGCCCTCCAAGCAAAGCAACACGATGCAAAAAAGGGCTCCCAACTCCTCTTAAAAGAGCCTGCCCTCACTCAGTCTTCCTGGTGTCGGTTGGGGTCATGAATGAACTTCCAGTGCAACTGCTTCGCCTGCCAAACAACAAGAGGGACATGCCGACTGACCATACCTTCGTTGCAATTTGCTCTTTCTCCAGGCACTGTCGCGGGCAGTAAAATGACCGTCCGGCATTTGCAAAGTGAATGCAATCTACAAAATGCTCTGAGTGGTATGTAAAGACTGGGCATCAAGACTTTCGAGGACATGATAAGCTCAAAACTTCAAGCATGGTGAATGGTGTCTGATGGTGTCTGTGTGTGAGTTTTACCCGCCTTCTCGGAATCGAACTTCTGACGGCACTCGGCACACTGGAAGGTTGCATTCACCTCATGAGCTTGCAAAGCATCAGAAGAGCTTGCGAGAACTGATTGACATGCGACATCATGCGACATAGTCTGCATACCCTTTGTGACCAATTCCCTGCTGCACCTTGATGCCGACATTCTGCGTGGTGCCATCACCAGACTTGGCAGCATCACTGATCTCCATAGTCTCAGGCATGA